ACCTCCTGGAGGGTTCATTCCAGCTTGGAATGCCATTGTTGCAATAAGTGACGCCACCACCATTATTGTTTCGCGTTTCTTGGATAGCCAATCGCCTTTGGATGGGTGGCTTTGGGCCTGATTTCCGCCTAAATATGCTGGTGTTGTTGAAGCTGGTAGTGAATGCGGATTTGCAGCTGATTTATTCGGAATTTTGCTACTATCATTTTTGATATCCTTTGCTCTTAAGCCTCCGGCTTCTCTAAGACTGTCTCCAATTTGTAGATCAATCATGTCCCTCCTACTTTGTGCTAAAATATCTAATGTTGTATTCCCATTTGCATCCATTGCATTCACATCTATTTGATTGGTCTTTAGCAAGTATTTGATAGTCTGCAAGAATGGTAGGTGGTTTAATAACTATAAGAAAATGAAGTTAATTTCCCAGACCTAGTGGTCAACGAAGTAGGTTGAGAACCAAAGGTATCAAATTCAAATCCTAGCGGAAATAAAAAACACAAGGTGATTTTTTTCCATTTCAAACCTCGGTGGACAGAACTACCTGGTACCTATTGCTAGTTGGAGGTAGCAGGTATTCCGTGGAATTAGTCGAGAGGTGCGCAACTTGGCCCGAACACCGCGATTATAAGAAAAAATGAAGTAAATTTCTTTTCTAAGGAAGCAATATCATACCTCAATTTGCTTATCAGCAACAGCCAAATGTAGAGTGGTGAAGCCATCACTATCCTTTGCATTCAAGAATTCATGGTCCCATGATCCAATCTCCATCAGCACCTTGAGAACCTCTAGCTGATTATGCTTCACACACAAATGCAAAACATTTTCTCCATTGATCGTCGTTCCTAGAACTGTACGAGGCCTGATTTGTATTAGTTCTTTGATGACTTCAACTCGACCTTTGATGGCTGCTAGATGGAGAGGATTTCTACCATCGCGATCACGAGCTAAGCATATATCAGGATTCACTACTAACAACATCTTGATAATTTGTAGGTGTCCTTTAGCTGAAGCTATGTGAAGAGCTGATGATTTTCGCGAATCCAATTCAGCTGCAAGCTGAGGATTTTGAGCCAGAATTAACTTCACAAACTCAATATGCCCACGCATTGTTGCTATGTGCAAAGGAGTTTCATTGAAGCAAGTTAAGGTAAGTCTATCAAGAATTAAAGCATCTTGCTGAAGTAATTCTTGTAAAGTTCTTACATCTCCTTCAACTGCAGCTTCATAGAGTTTCTTCTCAATTTCCATCTTGCTCTTATCTGTTTTTCTCTCTTTCAATGAGATTCTTTTAGTAAAAGAACTGGTTGATTTATATGACTGATCTTTTGTACTTATTGGATTTAGTCATACTTGGAAAAGTCTTCTACTAAATTTTAGTCTTGCTTTAAAAGGATATTATAAATGCTTTGAACTAGTCTTATCTTCTTATAAACAAAAAGACCTTCAAAATTACCCCTCTTCTTGGAAGCTACGTGGAGAAAATGACTATTCTTCCTCAACCAAGTGAACTGGTTAATTGAGAAGACCCTCACCAAACTTTTCTTGTAGCTAGAACACTTCAAAAATGCTATCGAATGTGTGGCGATATTTTTTAGGATCCAAGAGCAAACATAGATGATAAATTATTCGCAAGTCAATTGTCAAATTGAATTTGAAGTGTGAACTCTTGACTAATACTCCCTCCTTATCATTTTATCTCGCAGTACTTGACTCATCACGAAATTAAGAATTGTTTTTAAAATTTATGATTTAAAACAAATAGATACTTGTGTGGCTACAAATTAAATTTCATTAAGAGTAAAGTAAAAATTATAATGATAAATTATTTTTAAATAAGAAAAGGTAACATTCTTTGTGGGATTAACTAATAATGAGGGTTAATTTCACTGATCGTTATTTTGACTTTAATGGAATAGTAATTTGTGAAAATAGGTTCTTATGAGATTGTTGTTCTTGTCTGTTAGTGATATATTTAATTGTTATGTGAGATTGATATGGTAGTATTTTAACTTCATGAAAAATTATAAAATGATTTGAAGGATATAAAAACTGGTTCTATGCTAGTTCTGTTCATATTTTTAATGAAATTATAGGTGGTGGTATTAAGGCTATTACGTAACAAATTAAGTAAGATATTTTTAACACAATAATTATTCTCTTATTTTCCTTCTAATTGTCAAAATATTAAAACTCATTTGAGTTATGGGTCAAATCGGGTTGAAGAATAAATGGATCTAACTTAGATTTGGTCTATTTAAGCTTATGTGGCATTATTGTTAGATTTTTTAATTAAATTTAATGTCATGTCATATTTTTTATTAGATATTTTGTAGGTTTTGAACTAGAGTGACTTTTAAGTTACAAATGTAAAGTTGAGTGACTTTTAAGTGATGAAAAATAGTTAAGTGACGGTTGTGAAATAAATGATAAGTTGGATGAGTATCAGTGAAATTAACCCCTAATAAGGAGTGTCACTTAAATTGGGAAGGAGTAACAACTAAAGAAAAACAAAAGGCGGGGGAGAGAGAGATTGTAACTACTATCAACTAGTTGTTGTAATTTAGTACAATTTTCAAAAGTTAAAGAAGGTGGAAAGTGATACTACTACTACTACTACTAATTAGTGATTCTAAATAAAAATTCTTAATGGACTTTGAATATTCAACACGATGTTATTATATTAGACTCTGTCTGTGTTAGTTGCAGTTATGCATGAATGTGCGGTGTTAGAGCCATTTGACGAGAAAAAGATGGTTGTGCTCAGTGAATTTTTTATTAGAAAGAAAAACACATACCTCACCCTAAACTTTTGGTTTATAACACATACTTATCCCGTGGTTTCACATATTACACAACTTTCTGTTTTTTTATACTTTGCTATTAAAACTATATTATAACTTTCTTTTTTTGTTGTTAATTTTACTTTTTAAACTTCACATAATAGTATTATTTTATTTTATTTTTAAAATGTAATTAATTCTTTCCTGCTACTCAACTTCTTTGAATTAAATACTATTCTTTATATAAATAATAATAATAATAATAGAGAAAGCAAAATTGAAAAAAGAAGATAAAAACTGAAATGCTATAAACTATAAAGTAAACAGGAAATCTATTTCCCTACTCTTTTAAGCTTGTCTTTCTTTTTCTATTTTGATGACTTTTTACTTTATTTACTTTTCAATTTATCTTTGAACTAATTGAAAAACTTGAATGAAATGCATTACGCCAATTGAAAAACATCAAAGTATAAGAATCTTAAGGAGAGCATCGTTACGAGTAGAAACCGTGTAATTTTCATGGGTGGTTATTCAGCTTTGTGTTCATTATGCAAAAGTCATTTTTTTTGTTACGTAAAAATCATTCAACTTTGTGTTCATCACTCAAAAGTCATTTTTCTTTCTTTTGTTACACAAAAATCATTTTACTTAGCTCTATTTATCACAAAAGTCACATTGCTAGATTTTTATAATACTCCTACTTGAAAAGTCTATTAAGACCTTTACATTAAAAATCCTCTCATTTATGTAATACCTTCTATATTATATACTATATAATTTATTTTTACATATGTATTTTATTTATAATTAAAATAACTTCATATTATTTTATTTATTATTTTAATAATATATTCATATATTTAATTTTTTCATGGCACTCAATTTATCTAATCATATTCAAACATGAACATATTGTAAATATGAAAAAATAAAAATATTTATTTTTTAATATTTATTTGAAATAATAAAAATAAATTTGTTTAACAAATGATAGTTTTTAATAGTTAATAAGAATTTTAGAAAAAGTTTCAAAGATATTTGTGTTTAATATTACGTTTTTAAAGCTTTATCTGTTAATATTATTTATTTGAAAGTATTAATCCGATGTGTCATTGTGTTAAATGTAAGTATTTTATTTATTGGATTAATGGGTATGGTTTGGCTGATAAATCAGTGAGCTTTGATTTTACCCTCAATATTAAAAATATTTTATTAAGCATGGTTAAGAACGTGGACCTGAGATTTGTTCACGGTAATGTTACCGACAAATTTAATAATGCTACTTATACATCTTGAAATTTAATGTTAAGAAAAAAATTAAATGTACGAATATATTATAGAAATAATAAATAAAATAATATTAATTATTTTAATTATAAGTAAAATACCTGGGTAAAAGTATATTATATAGCATATAATATAGAAGGTGTTGCATAAATGAGATGATTTATAATGTCAAAGGCATAGTAGACTTTTCAGGTGAAAGGTTTGTAAATCTAGTCAAAGTGACTATTGTGATAACTAGAGCATAGTAAAATGATTTTTGTGTAACAAAAGAAAGAAAAATGACTTTTGAGTAATGAACACAAAGTTGAATGATTACCATTAAATTTACTCGTAGAAACCTTAGTCCTTAGAGGAATGTGTTATTCTCCCTTTATATTAATATTATTTTTATTTATTATAATTTAGCAGTCTGATTTTATTTTTTATGGTAAGTTTGACAGGTTTTTGGAGCAATATTTGACCTTAATTTTTCTGAGTACAGGAAATGCTTTTCTGCATTGGTTAAAAGAAAGAAGGAAATACGATCAAATTCTCAACTTATAGCTCAAAGTGGCTAATACAAAAGGTTGACTTAATAGTTAAAGAATCGAACTTTTTGACTTCCCCAGTCAACTTTTAGGACAACAAGTTGAAATAGAGGGATATATTTTCTGTCATTAGCTTTTGTTGGTTGGGGGGGGGGGGGGGGGGGTCGTGTGGCTGTAGGAGTGGTTTTGATACTAAATTTTTATATCATACTCGACTCAATTATGTTGGTATGAGATTTGTCAACGTTGCCCTGTTTCGTGCTTGTACGTTGTAACTAAGCACGAGAAAGTGTGTGGTTGACCTAAATTATAAAAAGCTTTCAAATTGTCGCAACTTTTTAAATTTATAATCTTGCCAGACCCTAAGAGGTATTTGTGTTATTGGGATTAGAATTATAATCTCGGAGTAGAATTTGGGATAGTATATATTTCACTGCATGATGTTGAGCATACACTGATCGTTTGTCAAGCTTTGGTCTTTGCAAATACATAGGCTAGTTAAAGTTCCTTGAATCAAGAGTTACAAGACATTCAAGAAAAGTTAGTGACAAGTCAAGCAGATTTTGAATGCAATTTAACAAACATTGACATGAAACGAATTTGCAGATTTTCTTGACTGTTGCTTCTTTCTCAACCATTTATAGACCAACCGAATTGTGTTTCCCAGCAAAAGCAATGCCATTACAGAACACCACACTGTAACAGAAATTTCAATAACCTGACCAAGCTGTTCTCTGTCCTTCTTAGGCGTGACAATGTAAATCGATATGCCATAAGTGAGTGCTACTGAGGTAACTGTCAACCACATTATAACCATCAAAGCCCACATGTAAAGCTTTTTCCTGAACGGCAATCCACTTATCAACAGCAATATTGTGCTAAGAGATGCAACAAAGGCTATGGTATTAGCACGAATATCGATACGATTTTGGATGACTGTATGCCATTACTGCTTCCCCTGCTTTGTGTGACATATGAAGGGAATTTCCTTGAGAATTAACTTCCTCATTGTCTTGCCAGACACCTCCAGGAGGGTTCATCCCGGCTTGAAATGCCATTGTTGCAATAAGTGATGCTACCACCATTATTGCATCGCGTTTCTTGGAAAGCCAATCGCCTGACAAGTCGTGCTTGTGGGTGTCGTGACTTATTGAAAGAGGAGTTGAAGATTCATTCTTAGGAAATTTTGCAAAATTTTGGGTGTTGGATGATGAAATATCCTTGGCTCTTAATCCTCCAGATTTCCGGAGACTCTCACCAATTTGCAGATCATTCATGTCTCTTCGACTTTGTGCCAAAATGTCTAGAGCTGTGTTCCCATTGTCATCCTTTAGATTCACCTCAATTTTATTGTTCCTCAACAGATATTTAACTGTCTGCAATTGTTAACATGAAATATTAACTCCATACTAATGTATCAAGCTAATGTTTTTCCTATGATAGCCATCAAGTTGTCTAATGTTAAACGGGTCAATAATGAGGAAGAACTTAATAGTCTTTTCTTTAGCAAAATCAACTTATTATTTAGTAACCCGTCCAAGTTTAGAGGGGTTGAGTTATAACCCTTTTGTCGACTTAACAACAAGTTGGACCTGTAATGACTAATCAATCTATTGGGTCAAAAATGGAAACAGGTCAAAATAATGTAACTGTTATGAAGATATTATATTATGGATGCTCATTTATTACTCTGTTGTAAATAAGCTTCCTGAACAAGTTTATACATATGAGACTTCGCCGTAAATATGTTTATCTATTTAGTACTCTATTGGAAATAATCCTCCTGAAAAAGCTTATCCTTTCGGTACTCCGTTATGGATAAATATTACCCATGATTGAAGATTATCTATATCTGGCACAATAACTTAGAGTAGCAGCTTACAAGCAGCTTACACAGCAGCTTGCAGTAGCACAACAGCTTACACAACAACTTCATTTCTTCTATAAATAGAGGAAAATTCAGTTCATTATGTACATAAGTTTGGAGTTTGAATAATATATCAGTTTCTCTCTATACTTGTTTTTACTTTACTGTCTTTATTTTATAACACGTTATCAGCACGAGACTCTGCCATCTCACGAAAATACCTTGAAATTATCAGAGGTACGAACTTTCTTTTTCTAAATAATGTCAAATCTTTCTAAACTTGAATTTGTAGCCCTGGATATATCGGGCAAAAGCTACATGTCTTGGGTGCTTGATGACGAAATTCATCTTGATGCGATGGGTCTGGCAGACACCATCAAAGATAAAAATCGGGCATCAAACCAAGACCGTGCTAAAGCAATGATATTCCTACGCCATCACCTTGATGAGAGCCTGAAAATGGAATATCTTACTGTTAAAGATCCAGTCATACTGTGGAATAATTTGAAAGATAGATATGATCACCTAAAGATAGTCGTTCTTCCACATGCACGTTATGATTGGACTCATCTAAGGCTAGAAAATTTTAAATCTATGAGTGAGTATAATTCTGCTATGTTCAGAATTATTTCCCAATTGAAACTATGTGGTGATAATATTATTGATCATGATATGTTGGAGAAAACTTTCACCACTTTTCATGCCTCGAATATGCTCCTGTGACAGCAATATTGAGAGATGGGATTCAAAAAGTATTCTGAACTTATCTCACATCTTCTTATAGCCGAGCAACATAATGAGTTATTAATGAAAAACCATGAAAGCCGACCTACTAGTTCTTGTCCATTCCCTGAAGTGAATGAAACGAACTTCCACCAACTTTATTTTCTGACTTATACTATTCAAAGATTAGTACAGTTGAAGCACACACTATTGTAAACCAGAAGTTTACTGATTCAAATACTTTTGTGCTTTGGCATGGCCGTTTGGGCCATCCTGAATCAATAATGATGAGACGAATTACTGAAAATTCGAGTGGGCATCCATTAAAGAACCTGAATATTCTTACAAATGATGAATTTTCTTGTGATGCTTGTTATCAAGGCAAAATGATCACTAGACCATCACCAATGAAGGTTGGCATTGTGTCCCCTGCCTTTTTAGAACGTATACATGGGGATATATGTGAACCTATTCACCCACCAAGTGGGCTGTTTAGATATTTTATGGTCCTAATAGATGCATCTTCAAGATGGTCTCATGTGTGCCTACTATCATCTCGCAACCTGGCGTTTGCAAAGTTATTAGCCCAAATAATTCGATTAAGGGCACAATTCCCAGATTATCCTATAAAGGCTATTCGCCTTGATAATGCTGGAGAATTCTCATCTCAAGCTTTTGATGATTACTGTCTATCAGTTGGGATAAAAGTTGAACATCCGGTAGCTTATGTTCATACTCAAAATGGCCTTGCAGAGTCATTTATTAAACGACTGCAATTGATAGCAAGACCACTACTTATGAAAATAAAATTGCCCACTACTGTTTGGGGCCATGCTATCTTGCACGCAACATCACTTATCCGTCTCAGACCAACACATTATAATAAATATTCTCCGTCACAATTAGTTTTTGGTCATGAACCAAATATTGCCCATCTACGAATTTTTGGATGTGCTGTATATGTGCCAGTAGCACCACCACAGCGCAGTAAGATGGGCCCCCAAAGAAGGTTAGGAATATATATTGGGTTTGAATCACCCTCTATTATTCGCTATCTTGAACCATTGACGGGAGATTTATTTACTGCTCGATTTGCAGATTGTCGATTTGATAAAATAAATTTCCCACAATTAGGGGGAGAGAAAAAGAAAATCAAAAGAGAAATTGTGTGAAAAGTTTCATCATTATCTCACTTTGATCCACGTACCCCTATATGTAATCAGGAGGTCTAAAAGATCATCCATTTACAGAATATAGCAAATGAAATGCCAGACGCATTTACTGATTTGAAAAGGATAACTAAGTCGCATATCCCTGCAGAGAATGTGCCTATCCGAATTGATGTCCCAACAGGACCATCTACTAGCATGAGAGCTAATGAACCTAAAGCACGCCTGAAGCGTGGTAGACCTTTGGGTCCTAAGGATCGAAATCCTAGAAAAAGAAAATCGACAAATGATCAAAATAATATTATGAAGGGATCTCCTGAAGAGACCCAAGATCTGATTAGTTCTGAGATTCCTGAAGAAATCAATGAACCCGAGACTCAAGTAAGTAAGAAACTTTTAATAAGTTCTACTGGTGATGGGATAAATTTAAATCGATCTGAAATAGTGGTGGATAATATTTTTGCATATAATGTTGCACTTAATATTAT